CAGCAAAGGTTCAAATTTAGGGTTTGAAGAACTACAGCTAGATGTATGTGACACGTCGCTAACTGGTGAGTACTCTATATCTTGAAATAAAGAAGTTTCATGTTCTTGAGGCTGAAATACATTTGGTCATGCAGTTATCACTCTTTTGGGGATTTTTCTAAAAAGTGTATATCTGATGGTAAGAGTATATATATTTGCGACAAATATGTGATGGCAAGAGTGACTATAGAAAGAGCAGAGATGAAGGAATGGACAGAGGCAAGCATTGTCAGTGTTTTCATAGGCTTGCAAGGTGTAAATTGATCAGTGGAAAAGGATTACTGATGTAGATAGGGTTCTGCTGCATGCCTGACAGGCCAACTCCTTTGACTTCAACTCCTTTGTGTCTAGAAGGCATCCTTGATTCTTCTTGCTGAGAGCCAGTAGAAAAAGGGTGTCAATTTCACATAATTTCAAACTCCTTTGGATGAGGAAGCCAGATGGAAACTGCTAAAAGGGGAAATTCTAGGCACACATCAGGTGTATCAAGGAATATTTTCACCACAGAGAAGCTGAAAGGATTGTTGGAGGATGAAAATGATGAGGATGGAGGTTCAAAGAGATTCCGGAGGGGTTGAGGCTTGAGGGTTGAGATGTCACAAGCTGTATTTCAGCTGTGGCCTTTGTCGCAATACAGCTGCTGCAGTCACCAGCCAATTTGTTACTGTTGCAAACAGACACATGTGACTTTCGGACTTGCATCCAATTGTCGCAGGCCTGTATGCAACACTGTATTGCATGCAGTGTGAGAGTACTGGTCAGGTAGCCTAGCAGTTAAGGCAGCCCATGTGTGTTGGGTCCAGATCCATTGGATCTGGTCACTGGTTCAAATCCAGCCCCAACCATCTTTTGGACTACAATAACTATGAACAACTCAATCATGCCTTGCGATGCCAATCCCACCCTTAACAATTATGGCTAATCAATTTGTCAGACTCAATTTTTGCACCAAAGCTTGACCACCCACATATTTGACACTGCAGGCAAAGTACTGTTGCATGTGGGAACTTGTCACCTGGATGTCGTGCAGGATTTGTCAATTACAGTATGTATGACTTGTGTAATACTGTACAGCGACACCTCCTAACCATGGGTGACACCTCATAAATGTGGGTGACACTGCCAAACTGCTGATGACACCTCCATATACAACCTCTGAGTACACCCTAGTCTGTCCAACACAACTTCATATACCCTTCAACATGCCCATATGCACATGTTCTAAATGTATAATTCATACCTGCATCAATGACAAAGACAAGAAAGTGCCTGGCCAACATCTATCCCATTGAAACAAGCTCAAGCATTATCTTGCTGACCGCCAAGTATCGAATAGAGTCAGTGTCACTTGAAACGGCTCTTTGGACATCCAGGACCCACCAGAAGCAAGCAACAAGGATATATTGGCTGAATCATATCATGTACTGGATGCTGAGTTTGAGAAATGGAACCTTGATGGGGAAGGCTCAACAGTGACAGGTATGTCCTCTCTATAATATGAACTTATTCACATCAAGCTATTCATCTGATGGACTTGTTTTTCCCATCAGTTTCTGCTCTTGTAATGATTTTCCTTGGATGGCTTCATCTCCATTGTAAACTCAGCCAGACCAACTGTCATATTGCTCACAAATTTATTCTCAAAATTCTAGCTATCACTGAAGATGCACCCCTCCTCAACCAATTCAATCACAATGATGTCCCTAAGGACATCTGCACATCTATCAACAATCTTTTGCTCAACCCAGACCTAGACCAACAGATTTGCTGCCCTAAATGCTTCAGCCTCTACAATGCCATTCAAAGTCCCTGGCATTGTCTATATAGGAAGTCACCAACATCACAAGAATGCAGTGAGGAACTCTTCATCTTGAAAACAGTCTATCGAGCTATTAAAGAAAAGGGAAAGAGTCAAAAGGAGCCCAGTCAACTACTCTCACTACCACCTACAGAGATTGGTGTTCCACAAAGTATTTATATGACACAAAAGATTTCATTGTGGCTTCAATGGTTCCTGAGAAAGCCAACTATTGAGTCTAGTATAGCCAGTTGGTCAGATAAGCTTAAGCAGGAATCAAATTCTCAAATTCACAATATTCAACAATCTGCAGCTTGGCAGGATATCATGTGGCCTCCTTCTTCAACCACAGAGAACTCAGATTCAAAACCACCTCTGCTAAACCTTGTCTTTTCACTATTTTCTGATTGGTTTAATCCTTGTGGAAATAAGAATAAAGGAAAAATTCAATCGATGGGTATTTTATCTTTGAACTGTCTCAATCTACCACCAGCTCAACAAAATTTGATTGCAAACACATGCCTTTCCAGGATTATGCCAGGTCTGAATATGCCTGATGTGATGACCATCTCACATGTACTTAAAGGGTTAGTGGATGAGCTGGAAGTTCTGAAGAAGGGAATTCATATAATTACTCACCAGTTCCCCAAGGGCCAGATTGTTCGAGTGAAACTATTATCTTTGTTGGGTGATGTGGTTGGAATTCATAAAGTGGTGGGTTTTGCATCACACACAGCTAAAAGGTACTGTGCATGGTGCTGGGGTCTCTCAAGCAATACAAAGAAGATGGTACTTGACCAAAACTGACCCAAGGAAGAAGTGTTAGATGCCTCAAGATGCTCTAAGGATGCCCACAGCTAAGCCAAGAAGGACATGATTCTAGCTGAAATGGGAATTTGTTGGTCTGAATTCAACCATCTGTCTTATCAAGATCCAGTTCATGACCTTCTGCTGGGGATAATGCACAATTGGTTCGAAGGTGTCCTGTACCAACACTTTCAGTGGCAATGGGGTTTTGTACAGTTCTCTTCACATGAAAAAGGAAAATTTCAAAAAAAAAAAGAGAAAACAACCAGCAAGATGCCTCAAATCGTCCCAGAAAGCAGGTAGTGTATGAAGAGGGAAATGGGAATGCCTTGGAAGACAAAAGCTCTGAAGACGAGGTTGAAAGTGAAATTGAAGAGGAACAGGAGGATATTGAGCTGAATGGGGGGGTATCTGGAGGGCTACTTACCAAAGACAATATCACTTTTTTTCAGAAGCGAATGTGAGATGTCGTCATGCCAACTGGAATCACCTGGCTGCCATCCAACCTGGGACACTCTAATCATGGAAAACTCAAGGCTGTTCAATGGCACAGTATGTTTGCGTACTTGATCCCTTTAATAATTCTGGAGCTTTACATCATTGATGTGGACAACATTGCACCCAAATCAAACTGAGGCCAAACCTTGCTGAACATTGGCTATTTATGCCAATGTACTAACATTGTTTGTGCTAAAAAGGTTTCAGAAAACGATGCTAAACTTTTTGAGATGTTCTACAAGAAATATACTGAAACTTCAAAAACAATCTTTCCCATTGTGGAACTCCAACAGTGCCTTGCTGTTGGCAGAGCTTGGAAGGGAGGAAAACACAACAATAATACTCAAAAATAAGAGTATTGGGTTAGTTAACACAAAAATGCCTTCACTATTACAAACAACTCTCT